TAAACAGTCTGCCTGTTTGCTGTTCAACAAATAAACTCCTAAAGACATGGCTAGGAAAAGCCAAGTATTTTTGCATACGTTATAACTTGAAAACGAAGCAAAAACCAGCGACAAAAATACAGGGCCGCGTTTTTCTATTACATTGAAGACCACATGCAAAAATTCAAGCCCTTTGGCGAAAATTTTTTTTTTCACCCAAATCGTCACTTAGCATGGTTTTGCACTCACCCCTTCAATTCAATCCGCACGAATTCTCTAAAGCATGAAGTTTAATGCTAAGACCAGGAATAACTTGAATCTTTACTTCAAGGAAATTTCAGTAAGAATTCTACTAACACAATTAGATTATTCGCTCTCAACTTCTATGAGACGAGAGTTGATTTGGCCTTTGGCCTCACCAACTATCACCTCATAGGAATCTCGAGCTCATAATCTAATTGTTAATCAGAGCTAAGAAAATACTAACCTGCAAGTGATTGTCCACAGTCATGGCAATGTTTGCTAGAGTAGCAACACAATAAATCACAATTTCAGGGTTACCATCAGTCAGGGTCTCCAGCAGTAAAGAAAGTGGCCTACAACACAAAATATTCACATACGTTTAGATACCACATTGATAACTCTTGTTAGTATAAATAGCTATAAATCTACTAGCATTCTATCATGAATGCCATTCCCTTATTGCCTAGGATCCTCGCTGATTTATTCAGATGTAGATGGCTAGTAGCCTACCAGTGTGCGGTTGTTGAATTAACAGCAGACGCTTCTATTCATTTTTGAAGTGTCTGTGAAAAGGATTTAGACAATTTACTAGTCAAGTTTTGAACAACTACCTTGTCTTGCCAAGTTCCACTTGCATCTTTGGATGTATACTGCTTGCAGACAGCATTTTAGTGGCAACTACTCTGGGCATTGTTTTGGAATGCAGGTCCATCAATGGCAGATGGTTATGGCCAAATCCAGGGCTGCAAAGATATACATCACAGGCAGATAACTAATTTATTAAATCTTTTATTTGAGCATACTCACAGTAGCTTGTTGGATGGCAATTTTCTCTTAGTGTTGACTGTTTACAAATCTCATGTCCCCACCTGCCCCACCTCCACTCCTCCAGTCTAAGAAATGGAATTTGCATCTCATTTAAGATTTACATGTAGGGAGCTAGAGAAAGAGAATGTCGTTACCTATAAAGTGGAAATGAATGATCGCCATCTGCTGAGCTTCCCATGCTGCAGATGCTGTTCTTTTTCTGCATCATATACCCACCATATGGCTGCCATACATCTGACCGTGCATCAGATGCACCAGAGTTGTTCCTCTGTATGGAACCCTTGGTACCTACAATGGGAGACATCTCTCTGGGACGTTCATCATATGAACTCTGACTGCATGTGCTTCTCTTGCGATGTCGTGGTCTGTCTGGGTTGCTTAGAGGATAAGGTGGTGGTGAGTCAGTCTGTCGCAGGTCAAAAGCACCACTGTCCACATCACTGATCTGTAGCAAGTTAAGCAGAGGTTCCAGGGGAATAGTCTTCAGAGCTGTGGAGAATTCTTGATCATTGTTGAAATCCAAGATACTCTGAAGTATCGACAAGCATGTGCTCTGAAAAAGACAACCACAATGGTCAAAAAGAGATAATTACTAAAGATTCACGTCAGCATATCAGATGACTCAATGGCTTTGACACCTTCAAATACTGATTTTAAAAAACAGTGCCACAAGCCCAAAGCCATGCAACTGAAAAGATGCACATTTCTTGGTGCAAACAATTCCCAAATATCCCTGATAATGTCTGTACTTAGAACTTGATTTGCTGTTTTATCACTCCATGAAAATTTGCATGTTGAGTCTTCATTACTATGGCATGCCACTAATGATAACTAATAGTTCTATCTAAGGACAACTGAGTTTCACTTTGGCGTTAGCGCTGTTTAGAAGCAGAGCAAATCATCAGTCGCTCGCTGAGCAAATACAAAAACCTCTTAATGAACAATATAAATAAAATTATAATCCAAAGGGCAGCCAATGATTTACATGCAGGAAATACCTACAAAAAAACAAAGAATCAGTGAAACAAATTATACAAAACAAATGCATGTCTCAATCTCTTATTCTAAAATATTGTATTATTCGGCTTTATCCTTCACTAATCTGAACAAGGTAAAACACTAAGATTAAGCTAATGTAATCAATGCAATATAGCGGAAATAATATTGTACAATTCAAAAATAGCAATAACAGATTGTACCTGAACAGGTTCTGGACTGTCGACCAGTTTTAAAACTGTCTCAATGAGTCCAGCTTCTACTGATCTTTTGCGACTATCTGCTCCCTCAAGCTAGACGGAAAGAGAAACGCATTCAAATTATTTGAACATAAAATACTCAACATTTTTTTAAAGATTAGTCAGCAGTATTCTGTCACACTCACTCTGACAAAAACTATTACATAAAATGCCCTTAAGAGCAAAAAGTAATATCAAAATATACATCTGGTACAATTAAACTGCAACAAGGCTAAATATTTGACTGGCTGTTATGTAACAGAGTAAAGTTTGTTTTTAAATCTTGTGGTTCACCACACTCTGTTTGCTCAAATAATGGATAACAGTTTCACAAACTCATTAACATTTCATTGCATTATTACACTGTACAATGGTAGTACATTACTAACAGTCAGGGGAATGTTCCTCTGATTTCTAACTAACCTGAACTTCATCAAAAATACTCCATTATACAGTATCCCATTCTTAACTGTCTTCTTGGCAGTTTAAAATTAGTCTAAGTGACACCTGAGATCATAATACACCCACTATCCTTTTATAGATCACACTATCCAGAAGAGTGTGAAGTATAAATTCAGTAACACCCATTGGGCAGAGATTTAATATCCAATAGTTGATTGTTTTACTCACATTAAACAGATTGCCAATCAGTACTGCGATGTGATTGTTTATCACAGTTGAACCAGAGTCCATGTGAGCTAAGCTGATGAGCTGTCCAGATGCTTTAGGAAGACAAAGATATGCCAGTAAACTAGAGTGACACTCAGGATTGCCAGACAGGAGGACTACTGGTTCAAGGGCGTCAATGACTGAGTCTTCATCTCTCATGTAGTTGGAGCCTGTGCTAATTAATGAACTTTCCTCGCATTCTGATGTGCTTCTTTGACAACTCTAACAACAGAAAATAAACGAAACGTCACACAACCAGGTTTAGATAATTCAGTTGTAGAGCTGTATTCTGTACATGGCTAAATAGATGCCTAACTCCATGACATAAGTTTCAGTTATTATGTAATAATTTCAATGATATGAACAAAGCAGAAGTTTGCGTACATGTACATGTGTATCAGGACAATTTTTTTTATGAGTTATAATTATTTACTGACTTAAGCTTCTGGTTGACTGCAACCCTTTATCAAACCTATCACCAATAATTACTGTACCCACCAATATCATTTGAACTCTGAGCTTTATAACCCGTTTAGAAACTAGTTAGAAGTGCATTTTCTGCTGCCATCAATCAGGGCAGGAAAAAACCCAGGTCTGATTGCCCAGGGCAAGTAAATTTTGCTCTTGGGCAAGTGAAAATGGGGGGCAACTGAAAACTGAAAACTGAAATGTACTGGCCCATTGGGCAACTGGATTTCAACTACTACAGAACAATTACTCACAGACTGTAGGAAAAGGAAACAAACAAACTAGATCTAAATCTGCCAGTCACAACCCATTCATCGAGTTGCACTGATATGTCCTTTTAAACCTGTTGCAGTGAACTTCTTTGTTTCCTAATATATACTGTAAGATAATACTGACAGCAATGTAAAGGTCACATATTGTTTTCAAAAGCAAGTGGTGTAAAACATGGACACATACCACAGAATGATCTGACTCCATGCTAGGTTGACGTACATTTGAAAGACTCCTTTCTATTCCTTTTGTTTGGTTGGCTTCTTCAGTGAGCTCGACGTCTTTGAAAGGTGTGACATTGCTAACAGATTCTTTAGGTTCTGCTGCCATATCTAATTTATTAACGACAGGTTCTACATTTTCACCAAACTGGATGAGGTCTGAAATTTGTCTTTTTTCTTCTATGGATTTTTTCTTAGGAATAATCGGAGACAATACATTGGATTCAGAGGATGCATCAACAACAGGCAATGACACAAAGGGATTTACTGGAGAATCAGGACTAACAACATCTGTTGGAAATTGGCCAGACGCAATCACTGCCGGTCTCTGCACTGGCATTTGTGAATCAGTAGCACTTTCTCCTCTTTCCTCCTCTGTGTTTGTTAGCTGTGTTTCAGCCTTGATAGCACATGGAACATGACCATCCTTTTGGTCCAATGAAGTTTCTGAACAGGGCAACACAGGCAGATCCTTAGCTCCTGTGCTATCTGCAGAGTTTGCGACATTTGCTACTTCTGAGTCTGTTTGTTTAGCAGCTAATTGCTGTTGTTCATCTGAAGTCCTTTGCTCATTTGTACCTACATCAACACTCTGTGCTTGATCCTGGGTGGTTTTATGAAAACTATGTAAGCGTGTGAGGCCTCCTCTTTTAGAATTGGCTGTGGAATGAAATAAATAAATAAATATATAAATAAATAAATAGTCACAGACTACTGGGACCAAAAAGCAACTACTTTTACACACCATTTCATGCCGTGTCCATGTACATTCACATGGTTGTGAACTCTCGTGGCATGCTCCTTCCGGCAAAAAATGTCCATGATTCCTTAGGTGCAGGTTTATCAAACTTTGATGATTTGAAGATCTAAAAGCATAACCCCTTGCACTTTGCCAGGTTTCTTTGTCGCTCTGTCAGTACCCATGCTATTACTCCATCCTCATGGGTGGAAAGATGCACTTTAAGTCAATTACTTTATCCAAGGACAGTGAAGGAGGAAGTGAACCCGCAATCCAGCAGTCCCAGGTTCGAGCCCCGCTCTGACCACTACCTGAATTTGTTTCTCGGTAGCCCCGAATTCATATCCTCTGCCACGCTTGAAAATAGCCAACTAGTTTGCCTCTGGCCAGTTGGGATTCTTAACAATGTTATGTTCAATTTGAATTTTTTTTTCAGTTGTTTGCTCGGTCCTACTAGCACTTGTGGAATAAACATTGCTGAGGGTAAATAAAGGTTATATATATATATATATATATATATATATTTATTTATATTTTGAACTAGGCCTGAGCACTCAAATTCAAACTACTCGATCTGTAATTCAGTGCACTAACTATTAAGCCAACACATCTCTCATATGCTATTTACAAGCAAGAGCTTTGCCTTACCAAGCAGAGGACTCAAAGTTCTTGAGAGATGAATACTCTCTGATCTTTTAATAGAATACCTCCCTCTCAATGCCTCTGGACTACCACGCCCTCCTGATATCGAACACAGACTTGAGGAGCGTCTGTGTTGGAACAATCCTCTTCGCAGAGCAGTTACTCTCTCTGTCTTCGGAGAATGGACAGTAGACTTGGATCTAATGCAAGTGTTAGTTGAACTTTGGTTGATAGAGGATGCTCCAGAATTTGACCGGGACTTGGAGATATCTGCAGCTGCAAAAGCCTCACAGGCTGACTGAACTAGAAGTCTCTGCATTTCTTTTAGCTCCTGTTGAGAATCAAGAACCTTATGTTAGCCACATAAAACAGGTAACTATAATTTCCAACACAGAGAGAATGTCACATAATATAAAACCCTTGGAGGTGCACTTGTTGAAGGGTTTGCATTAGCATTTTTAGCGGTAGGGCAACTGGTTTTTGAACTGACCTGCTTTACAAGAAAACCTTCCTCAACATGGTCAAACCAGGCCGACGAAATTGTCCTCACGGCTGGCCAATATGCCTGTTGCCTGACCCTTAATGAGAGCCTTATTTTTGGTCTATGGAACAAGGTCATCAATGCCTTCACCTTGCTCAAAAATACCCACCAAAAGTTGCCTAATTGTTTAAAATCATACAAAATGAATACACCAAAACTGGACATGGCACTCCTATGATCCCCTCACCCACCTTACCCTGTCACACCCAACTCAAAACATAAAACTAAATTCACAGCAAGTGGAAATGGAAAAAGTCTTACCGGTTCTAAGTCGACTGGTCGCACCCCATGAATGTTGTTCTCATAGATTCTTGCTCCATGTTCCACTAAAAGGAATGACACTTCCAGCTTGCTCCTATGTCCAGCAGACATGTGAAGTGGTGTACAACTACAGATGAAGAGAGAAAATAAGAAAGAATATGTGTGAAGTCAAGAGTTTCATTAGCATTTTCAGCAGGAGGGCAACTGGTTTTCACAGGGAGGCAAAACGTTTAAACTGAACTTCATTATAAGTAAAACTTTCCTTTAGATAGTCAAACCAGGTGGGCAAAATCATCCTTACAGTTGGCCAATGTGCCCAACATAGGGCCTTAAAGAAACCCCTGAAAGTAATAACACGTAGCAAAAGTAGTTTTATGAAAGAGTAGGAGATGTGATGCAAGTCAACACTACAGCATGCCCAGGGGCTGTTCATTCGCAAACTCGCAACTTATTATCTTATGCAGACATTAGGTTGAAGGATATTAAGAATGCCATTAGAAAGTGTATGTAATGCTGTTTGCATAATATTGCTGAAGCGTTTTTCATGTATAATTTAAAATCAACTGCCAAAAGTATTAAAATGGAAGACAAAGACATACAAATTGTTATCTTTAGCTCTGACATTTGCTCCATAACCAAGAAGTAACTGAGTAACAGCTCGGTTCCCTGCAGTTGCCGCAACATGTAGAGGAGACTTGTCATCAGGTCCCTCCCAGTTTATATCTGCTTCCCTGAAAGAAAATAATAAAATTATTTACTACCTATTGTTTTGATGATAATCTCAACTAGCTACAGTACAGCCAACATGAATATAACACATGTGAACAAGCAGCCCATATAGGCAGGTTTTTTTTTCGGTCTGAGCAGGTGGATTTTTCTGTGAGGTTGGTGCTCTCTATCAATCACCTGTCTGGTGGACAAGCACCATTTTTGATGTTTTAATTGGCACTTGTAAGGCCATGAAGACCTCCAGGCTTGCACAAAGAGCTGCCAACTTGCCCAAAGGGAAACCGGGAAACTACATTTAAAGGAGGTCTTGCATACCATAAACTGTTGCGTATAGGCCTTCCTGCATATAAACCCTCTGGTTATATTACCTCCAGTTATAAGCCCCTCTCTAGTTAAAAATGAAATGAATTTGATTTATTATGATGTTTTGAAGATTAATTAAAAACTAGTATACAAAAAATGTATTTAGATAACACTGCTGCAGCTCATTTTGAAATGGGCTCTTTATTCCACTCATAAGCCATCCCACCCCCATCCCCCAGATAATAAGTCCCTCCATTTTGAGGCCTATTCAAAACCCTTTCCAAATTTGTATAAGTCCAGTGGTTATAAGTTTACAATATATCTAAAAGACTGACTGGTTGAGTTTTTACTCAAGCTAAAGGGGGTAGTCAACAATTAGATAGCTGTATTAGACAAGGCGAACAAAAGCAAGGTTCCATGCAGTTGGTTTTCTCCAAAAGACAAAAATGGTCATAACTTTTGTACTGCCAAGAGAAAACTGCCAAGTATTGTCTACATGTACATGTATATTCAACTCATAAACTTTAACTCAATAGCAACTCAATAATCACACTAAATGGTGCAAGCAATAATGTTTCACATGACACTGAGGCAATGAAACATGCAAACTGGGCATCTCCTGGCTCCTGTTTGCTTTTTTACTATAATACACATCCCCCTTCCCTCATTTCATACTTCTTACAACAAAATGGTGCTCAAAGTATCAGCATTCGCATTTACACATAAAACAAGGGCTATACGATCATATAAAAATTTCTTGTTTTATGCGTAAATGTGACTGTTGATACTTGTGAGCACCATTTTATTGTAAGAAGTATGAAATGAGGGAAGGGGAAGTGTATTATAAATTTTTGGATGTGCACCAACAAGGGACCATCACATCCTTGGGGCACACAGAATTACGCTTAACTCGCATGAAACAAAATAGCAGAAGAAAACATGAAAAACAAAATGAGCTATCAAATTGTAAAACAAATAATCTTACCATAAAGGCCTCAACTTTAATCCAGTCAAATTACGAGGACATTTCAAAAATGTGCAGACCCCTAAAATTTTGAAGCTGAGGGGCTCAGGATGCTTTTTTTTTTCTTTGCAAAATCAAGTGCAAACACTGACAGGTGTATTGTATCACTTAATATAACCATATTTTTCAAGCTCTCACCTCTTCAAAAGTAGTTGTGACATTTCTACATCGCCCAGTGAAACAGCATAATACAGCAAGCTTCTCCTCGCAGTGTCATGCGAATCCACCGATACTCCATCATCCAGATACTTTTCAACGAGTGCTGTTTCTCCCCTTTCGACAGCTGATATGACATTATGCACTGTTTCAGCATCCTCTGGAACTTCACCATCAGACAGGGGTAACGACGTGTCTTGAGGCTGGTGCCCTTTATATTTTGCAAAATTTGGCGAAAGACGATCAACAGAGTTAAGAGCTTCTTTCTGAAACCGCTCAATGGGAAGAAGAGGAGTTGTCGTCAGAAAGTTCTGTGTAACAATTTCCTTCTCCATCCTTCCAAGATCAAGTTCTTTTGGAATTTTCTCCTTTGGCATGATTTCTCTTAGCTCTTTTATTATGTTTTTTCTTTCCTTTCCTTCTGATGGAAAATTGTTCAAGACATTTTCTTTCTGATCTCTTGGAGGTGAAATCACAGGGGAAGAAGCGTCAGCCACTACTGGTACTGAATGAGTTTGAGACTGTAACTCTTCTACAGAGTGGCATCTCTTCACTTGCCCAGTTGCCAACATGTCAGGATTTATTGTTTCTTCATTGTGTACCGTAGGTAAACTGGACCTTCTAATTGCCTCATCTCTTTTAACCCAAACTGGGGGTTCTTGTTGCGAAGAAGGAAAAACATGCACCTCAGCTTGGACAGAAATCGGACCATCTAAAACAGGATTCACCTGGCTTTTTCCAGCTTCTTTTCCATCACTGTCACTCCCATCTGAAGGAACCGGTGAAAGAGCGGAGAACTCAACATGCCGTCCAGAGGTGTGTGAGCTGGTTGGATGACGAAGAATAGATGGACTGGTCGTACTTTTGGTAAATTTCTTCCCATGAGGAGATCTGCGACCAGAAGAACCTTCTATGCCATGTTTCCACTGCACATGAGGATGCCTTCTCTCCACAGATGAACTACCAATTGTCGAAGTTGTTGAAACTTCAGAGTTTGTACGGGTTCGCTCAGAACTGCTAATTGAATGGGTTCTTCTTGCCCGCCGAGTTTCCCTTTCAACTCTCTCCCTGGTTAATTTACCAATAGCTTTAAAGGCCAGTGCCACAGTCCTCACAATACTAGAGGCCTGAGAAAATGACAAATAAAAGACAACAGATATTAGAATTCAGTTTTTTCCATTTTCAAAGATTAGCATGCAAGTATCTTTTAAACTTATGCAATCAGAAACATGTTTTGAAGGTCATTCACCCCTGAGCACTCCCATTCAAAAAAATAGTAATTGAAAAAACTAATTATGTCACACAACTTTACTAATGTAAATTCTATGTTATCTGTGAAGAAATGTAATCTTATACCACAGTCACTCACCACTTGCAAAACTGCATTCATATTTTCCTTGAAACATAATTCTAATACTCAATCAACGAAAAACAAAAAGCTGTATTATACTATATTTTGTGACCAAAGGACAATCAAATAAATTTACTAGCATGGTGTTAACCATTTTACTGCAGTTGGTTACAGTGTTAAGAAATGATGCCAAGTTTCTGTTTGTTTGTTTTTTACCACTGAGTAAATTTTATCATAACATGACATTCCAAGACAGTTTCAGCATGCATCACTGACTCAAACCTGCATAAAATTTATTTTAGAAATAGAAGGTTGTTGCCCATTTGTTACAGAAACTGTGGTGAAGTGTTTCACCCTGTGATGTTACAAGATTCTAGCAACATTCTAGCAAAGACCATCAGCTCATAAGGAAATTTGAGTAGCCCACGACTGATACAGGTCAAAAAGAACCAGCGATTCAGGTGTTATAGACGTGTTTTTATAGCTTACATGACTGTACATGTATTTTGGATTTGAACACCTCCAGTATTAAATTGATCATTCTATTTCTCATGAAAAACGTTATACATGTATGTTACAATGCACCATTTGGATCAAAAGTGTAAAGCCACAGTACGATGGCTTTGCTATCAGGAGTAAATTCTTGAAATAGCATACAGTTATCTCATTCTGAGTTGTGTACATTGTAACCTGCCATGTTCGGTCACGCAACATTCAGTAGACGACGTTCCAATGACTCATCAGTTGAAATTTCACATTGTAAAGGAAAATTTCAAACAAAACAATATCTGATCCACTTTGACAAATGACACCAAGTTTTTAGGTTTTTTACTCTGTCATTTCATACTGAAGTGAAGAATATATTAAACTTGGTAAAACAAAAAAGCAGGTACAAATCAAGTGCTTTGAGCACTTGCATACACAGAGTTAGTATTTTTTCTTTCCAGCAATCAATATTTTGTTATTGAAATCCGATAAAAGAGAAAACTTCTGCTGCAGTACCTAAAACAGAAATATTTTGATCTCCAAGGGGAATAATTTTTCATCAGTTTCTCTTGATAACACAAAATGCCTTCAAAGGGACAGAAAATGCTGCTATACACGGCAAATATGGCAGCAAAAGTTGCCTCTGTCAATGTACCTAGTCTGAAAGTACATGATAGGTAAATAATTCTGGCATTTTCTCATCACAAAGAATAATTAGCAAAGTAAAATATTAACATAAACAACCTCAAAGCCAAACAAAAGTTCGTAAACAAGTTTAAAATACATTCCGCTAAATAAAAGTAGGGAAAAAAGGTTTAAATTGTAGGTTTTTAGGAAAACATTATACGCAATCGGGCAACAATCTTCGAGATTTGAAACGTCCGACAAACGGATGTTGACAACAAGGAAGGCAATAAAATTGTACATATACCTACGTTATAATCAATACAGTTCGTAGATTATCATTCAAAAATTATCGAGGAGCAGTCCATGTTTAATCAACGTTTATTCATTTTTGTTCGGAAAGTGAAATATTGCAGCGTCAAACCAACTTTCTGTATCGCTTTACATGCCGTTTCAAGGATTGAGGAAAAAACAACACAAATTATAGTTGGCGTGACTTCGACTTGTCAGCAACTATTGACAAAACGCGGCTCTTGCGTCCAGCTCAGATCCCCGACCGAACGTAAATAAACTTGATACTTTGCATTCAAGATATATCAAAACCCCGATTTTTTACGCTGCCATTTTGAAAAGAAACATTCCTTTGGTTGAAGAGAACCCACGCTCATGTTTTTCGACGCTGTCTGGAGAAGAGAAGATATACAAGAAAACATGTTTATGCCCGCGCGCTAACTAGCTCGAAAACACAGCTGCTTTCACCCTTTCAAGTCCTTTCTCTTCTTACAAAGGCATATCGAAATATCAAAACAGCGTAGCTAAATACCTGCCCGGAGAGAAATCAAAATACAGCACTTTACTCGCTGGTGTAAACAACTTAAATATTGGCGGCGATGCCCCTTACCTCGAGTTGCGAACCAGCTTGAAATACGTGACACATGTGGGTTTTCTTCCGAGTGATATTCAACCCAAACGTACTATCAAATCCCCGAAGCTGTTCTTGGGCACACAAAGCAATAGCATAAAGTGGTGCTGTGAGGATTAACGAGTTAGAGTCCACGCTGGACACAAGAAGAATCCCGTCGCGTATTGTGAAGTTGACTCGTATACTTCGTATCTGCTGCTTTTTTATCCTTTTCAGTGTCTCCATCATTCGCGTTGTGGACTTCGCTTCGGAAATCTGTGCCGACCCCACATAGTCTACGATGAAATGAAGTTCACCCGAGCTGTAATCTTCCACCGTTCGACTTTCTGTCTGCGGTAAAAGCGCAGTTGCTTGCGACAGCGAAGCTTCTTCGACACTTTCACTCGGACATGACTCGTTGACAGGAACTTCAGCATCCGTCTTTTGCCGTCTCTGGCTCAAACGTCGCCTTAGAGAATGCATTGTCTATTTAGTGTTTGACCACAGTGTACTCCATACTGGGAGCCGACGTTAAAAAAGTACCGTCCCGTCATCTTTAGCCAAACTGTCGAAATAAACAACAACCTTTCCACGCAACATTTACCAACCAACCTCTCGGTGTCAAAAACCAGTTGCGCTGTACATGTAAATTACATCTTTGGACAGATGGAGGAAGTTAAATACACAGCACCCTCACATGCTTGACACATGTCTTAGCATTCTGAAAAACAAAACAACTTTTAGAAAGGTCTGAAAGACAAGGAACTTCCACTCAAACTACGCTCCATTCACCACCATGCTGTTTGTACGGAGTTGTTTGTTTGAAGACGGCCAGATGTCTGTAATTGGTTGGTTTTTGATCACATGAGAGTGTCGCCTGCGTTCGAACAAAAAATGCGCGAAAACCGGGACCTGCTGACAGTCTCGCGTGACTCGAAAGGCACTCAATCAACATCAAAACGAGCAGATTTTGGACGCAACAATGTGGCCAAAAAATTCGCGTCTCCATGGATGGCATGGCACAATCTCTCCTGGGACCTATACATGGCCTTTACGAAATAATTTCACCAACTGCTGCATTTTGCCTCAGGGAAAATACTTTGTATCAGTTTACTTCCACATGCGGTAACAAACGTAAAACCGCATAGAAATGTTTACTAACATTGCTTTGATTAATGTCCAATGATTATTCAATATATCTTCGAGGTGGAAAGATGGATTCTAAAGATTTTTTACAAGAGCTTCATATGTTCGAGCGACGTCTGGCCTCGCCATAATGACGCTTATAAAAGGATCGCCAGTTTTCGTGTTTTTAATTTTTTTTTTTTTTCATTGCAAGGCCGTTTTTTCTCCTGCTTGAAACACGAACAATAACTCAGCAATCTGTCTGATCTGATGACTTCATGCTGGTTGTCGAATTAATTTCTTTCTCCTAGTTTCCTCAAAATAGCACGCTGCCAAGTCAAATCAACCTCAGGAAAATTCGGACAAGACTGCTTTGCTTTCATCTCTTTTACTTATATAAAGCCGGACGGCCGTGTCATAAAACTGTGGAATCTGTTTTTATAGCACCATAAGCTTTATCCAACGATACGAAACTAAAAATACAGTTGTTATGCAATTGCTTATTACATCATAGGCATTAGGTCTTTTCCGGCAAAGTTCATTCCGCGTATTTATGTTTGTTGTTCATCCGTCGTAACGACAAGGGCTATCTAGGTCACCCTTTCGGTTTAACGCAAAAACGAAGCGGCATCCTGTTATGCGGTTAGAGCTGGCTGAGTATTTTGGCGCCGTGTTCAACACAAAATAGTTCTAAACAAGATGAGCTATTTTCAAGCTCCACATTCTTTTATTTCCCTCATATTCTGGTTTTTCAAAATGCGTCTGTGCGCGTTTAGGTAATGGCCCCTCACTTGTTTGTGTTTTCATTTCATGTTATTTTTCTTGCTAGATAAATACGGCTCGCAAGCCACTTAGAAAGCCGGAAATTCTGACACGCTATTAGCTCTTCTAAGCCCCAGGCAAAAATTTACGTTCTCCGTCATAAAAACAATGTCGAGTGTTTTGTGACGTTACGCGAGAAATCTGCCAGATGGTAAACACACTTGAAAATTTACGCCTCAAATAATGACCTACAAAGAAAACAACATGACCGATTGCCCTTACGAGTCATCAGGTCGACAAAAACATTAAGAAAACATGCAACGATTGACTCTCTTTTTGTATCAGATCACCAAAAGTACTTTGACATGAATGTAGATACGATAATGGCTTGTTACAGGTCGTGTTAACAAAAAACCAATTAATTGACTTGATTCTATATAATTAGCTGGCGCCACCTTGATGCATAACGATATACTCCAACTACTCCAAGATCTTCCGGTGAAGCGAATTTCGAAGCGAAAATTAGCCTTTTATTCACAAAAGAATGTTTGATCACTAATTTAACAAAAGGCCCCGTGAAACGTGAAGAATTTGCGTTTTATATGGTCGTAAAAAAGTTAAGTGACCAGAGCGTTTTGACTTCATTAAATGACGCAGGCTCGTTAAGTCCAAAAGTCCGAAGTCCGACACTCGACGTACAGGACACTTAACAGTACTTAAATATTACTAAATGTACGAAGAATAAAACAAAAACAATGCACAGAAATGACTAGAAGATGGAACAGCCGTGAGTTTTGAATTGGTTATCCACGATCGACAAAAAGTCCTGACTTCGATGAGCTAATTTTTCACCGCGACCCGGGCAGCCCATTTTTCGCGTAGTCAGCGAAGAAAGCACCTCTATCGTCCTGCTATCAGGCTACTTCAAACCTGTTAAAAAAGATTTTTGCCTTACAGTTGAAAACAAATTAAGATATTTTCTTTTTACATCAATCAGGGGAGTTAGTCGTGCAAATTTTCAACAGGGTCACTTTAAAGGACTTCCGTTGTATACCACTTTACTGATGTCGGTAGACCAGGAAGTCATGTTCAAGCTCTCGGCGGTTAGCATGGATCACGGAGGCAAGAGAAGAAAAGAAAAAGGAGAGACCTGTTTTTTTTTTTTTCTATCCTCGCTTACCTGCTTTCGTCTTCGCTCCTCCGCTTTTTCGCTAATCCGCCTCTTTGCTTACCCCCAACAAACTTGTGGCTCCTGAAATTAAAGCAACCCAATACAGAAAAAAAAGTCTGCGAGTCTTTATGTTTCTAGCAAATCTAATTTTAACCGATCGAATAGCAAGTGCACCAATTTTATCTCGAGGTCGCCAGCACTTAAGAATATTAATTGTGGGAAACAGCCACATGAATCTGTTCAGATCGCAGATTTGATAGATACACCGGTGACATTATTACTGATCAAGATAGATCACTATATTGTAATTAAGATTAATTGAGATTAGGTTGGCCTCTAATTAAACATTTTTTTTTTTGCAAAATTGTAGTCAATTCCAAGCTTTCTCACAAAGAAATTGAAAACATAAAAGAAAAAATAAATAGACAAATAGGAAAATAAATAGGAAAAGAGAATTTAGAATTGGGAATTCAAACTGACAGTGCATTGAGTGCTGCGATCTAATCTTCACTTTTTTTGAAATTTTGTTTGACAAGGTGGCTGAAAATTTGGATTTCAAATCACTTCAGAATCAAACGAAATTAAAATAAAACATGGGGGAGAACGCGAGTTAAAAAAAAACCCCAGGAAGACACATAAAAATCAACTGAAAAATGGATATATGCGGCTAACCAAATTCACGGTTGTTTCACGGGCCAAACACTCTTTTCGGGATTATGTAGTAATTATCATTCGTTCAAAGGCATCGTAGGTCACCTGTTCATGACGTCACCGAGGGACAACCCGGGGCAGAGCAACCTCGTTTCTAGGCTCCCCTCTCTACATTCTCGAAGCAGAGAGAGGACCCTGAGCACAAGGTTGTGAACATTTGCGCCCATTGTGGAATATCACTCGGATATTCCCTTGTTTCAGCCACGTGGCGCGTTTAAACCAAGAGATCTTACCTTCAGTGATCTCTTGGTTTAGACCGATCACGCCGCGCGCGAGCGAGAATATTTGATGGATTATAAATGTAAGTAGGGCTTGGTACCAGTTGCGTCAGCTTCACTTGCAGTTTACTCTCTTAAATGGTCGGTGACGCCCTCTTTTCTTTTCGTAGATCACTTTCTTTACTGATTTTCCCTATTCTACCTGGAAAAAAAAATTGTACGTGAAAAGTGACAAAAACTTCGCCATTTCTGCTCTCGCTTGACCGAAGTTTTCTTCGACTGTGAACGTGCAAGGCCAGTCTGTATTCTTTTTCAGGGCCTGTTCTACCTGAACGAACGACATCAGCTGTCAAAGTTTACTTAATACACTTCTGTTGAATTGGGTACGTTTACCTGATCGAAATTTCACTAATGTAGCTTCTTTCATTGCTGATGGTTGTAAGCCGAGTTCGCCGTGAAATAACGAAAGCTTCTGAAAACGAAAATGAGCACGGTAACCCCATGTTTTTAGTGTTTTTGGTAAACGTTGATCTTTACCTTACTTCATGTCAAGTTTTTTTTTTTTTTTTTTAAATCTGCACCTAGGAACAATTTGAGCGTGAACGTCCTTGACCAAACAAAGGGGATTACTAAGTCACGTGGCTGTAGCGACGTCAGCTGACAAAAACGCTCAGGATTATCAAGAATATCCGTCACTTCATTATACGAGCGAATAGTTTCTCAGCCGCTAATCGCGCGGAAATTGAGTGCACAAAAAGAAAAGAGAACAACGACGGAGAGTGGGGTGGTTGGGAAAACGCTTTTCCGTTCGTATGGGAATGCTTGCTATGCAGGCTACACTCCATCACCCAGACCACGCGAAATGCACGCGCGAAGGTCTCCTTCCGCTTCGATGATGGGTGAAAATTTTCCGCTTTCACAAATTGTTTCTATGATCAACACTGGACAGACTTAACACAGTTTCTGGTTAAATTAATTATTATAATTTAATACACGACACTTACAAACAAGTAAGATTATTTTCGTCTGGTTTATTCACAATATGTTCTATTAACTCTAAGGGAATACCTCACTTCTATCAAGAGATAACCTTGCGCGAGAAGTCACTAGAAAACATATTCAAAACCTTTTTACAAAGATAAGACGTCGGCTGACAAGTATTGGGCAGCACTGCTCCCATGAAAACGTCCGAAAAGAACTAAAACGCAGGAGAAATAAATGACTTTTCTCATAAGTTCTTGTTAGGATGTAACACAACCATGGCAAATTTCAGCAGCAGAGGCTAACAGGACAAGATATTTTCGCAATGTTACGTAAAGAGTTCAAAATAAGAATAAATATTCTTTAAAGAATGAAGCATAGGTTATGTAAGATAGAACAATTATCGGTCCAATGAGTTTTGCAAAGTGTTTCACTCCTGTCTTTTTCTATCCCCTAAGGTCTAATACTACGATTTCAGACCACTGATTATTGGTGTCATATTTTTAATAAAGAAAAGTTCGCATGCGGCAACATCGTCGAAAAAGCATGACCTCGCTTAACAAGCTCGTTTCAGATCGTTTGTGAGATTATGTTGGTTTGCGAATCAATAAAAAATCTAACTCCAAGGAACGGCGAGTTGGTGTAAGAATATAACTTTAACAAATAAAACTACACAAATAGAATATGTAAAATAATAAAAAGACTTCAGAGGAGCGATGTAATCATTCTAATTCATCACTGTTCAACTCATCGTCTTCTGGGTCCGCGACTTCTACTTCTGCTCCGCTCTCTCCGTCTGTTTCTTGGTGATCGTGAGCGCGGTTTCTCTGTTTCTCGTTCTCCTTTTTCTTTCTCGCGCTCCATTTCCCGCTCTTTCTCTCGTTGTTGTTGTCTTTCCTTTCGTTCTTCGTCTTCTTTGTCTCTTTCTTCCTGCCTCGCTTTCCGTCTTTCCTCTCTTTCTTGTTCCCTCGTCGCAATCTGTAACGGAAATAGGAAGGAAAAGAACTAACTGACGTTTCAGTCCAGTCATCGTTTAAGTCGCCGAGCAATATCCGACTGTTATCATCCAATCAGAAAAGATCATGAGCTCTACGAACTATGTGACATTAGCATGCCGTCATCAGGGTTATCGCCAGTTACGTAGCAACAATTCAGCTACAAATTGCGGGCTCACCAATTTATCACAACGAAATACTAACTGAAAAAAAAAAAAATTCATCCTACCGAAGTAGTAGACTGTACAGTTCCCCTTTGTAATGTAGCCAAACACTCAAGACTCAACTTTCATAGTAGGCCACAATTTATGTTTATCTCACTTCTTACTTTGGTTTGGGAAAATCTTCGGTTTGGCGAACACGAGCAACTGGTGACAAAGGTGGAGAAGAAGGGAAGGGAGGGACGGGGTGGGAGATAACATGCAGTGAGGGTAGGGGGTAGTGTAGGCGTTAGGGGTTTTACACACCTGCTCGTCAGTGAGTGGTAGCCAGTATAAACAGGGCGTGGTCTTGGTTTTCCTGAACAGATTATCCAGCAGGTTTCCAGGGTTCTTTTGATCGTCTTCCTCCTCCTCTTCGACTTCCTTCGGCTTCTCCTCTGGAACATTAAAAGAACAGATGATGACTTCCGTAATGAACACGCTTATCGGAACCGAAGGAAGGCCCTTATTGAAAGTGGGGCGCTTATCAGAATTGTACTTATTACAAAGCGCTTGCTGGATCGAATCAATGATATTACTGTAGAGAAAGAGCCCATTGAGTCAGAGAAATTATTGTGCAAAACAAACAACATACCCGGTTGTTCTCTTTTTGGAACTTTCTCGGCTTTGATCTCTCGTTCTTTTTCCTTCTTTGTACCCAAGACTCCATCTGTATCCCGCGCCATCTGTAATGTAACAGTGATTTATGAGACTAAAACTAGAACAATCACCAAGGCACATTTTCAGGCAAACCCTAGAACGAAACGAACAGCAAGGCCAACGCCAGGTCAAGATAAGGGTTTGGATTTGCATCTAGTTGGCCAAAAACACTTTGTCTTAAAAACTACAACCGTAATTGGCTTTGGAGTGGAAACCGAAAGCTCTGCGACTTAGTAAAAAATAAAATTCGTAACAAGAGAACGCTTTTATACAAGATGATTTAAAATCCTGATTTTTTTCCTCCAATTTTAACTGACTTACCGTACAAAAAAGAATTTCTATGATCCACAAAAAGGTCAAAGATCATCATTCAAAAATGAGTCTTCAGGTTGGAGTAAGAATACGAATTCCGAATTTCAATTCAGTTTCAATTCCAGAACCCTAACCCCTCCCTGGTGCGGGATTGGCGTGAAAGGCGAAAGTAGAAAGTATACGCACCAGGGTTTGGTTTGAAAAGTCGCGTTCATAGTCGACCTCATATGTTCTCCAATCTGAATGTCCCTATAGCCTGTGAGCCGGCTCTAGTGTTTAAGTTTCGCACTCAAGCGCTGCCATCCGGCTTTTCGCTTCGGCGCGCGAGCGAGTTTACGAACGACGTGCATTTAGGAACGAACGGCTCGTCTCGCGTGTCTCTCGGGGCTTCCCCACTAGCGTCCCAGGCCCAAAACACGAGAGCCTGCTCGCACGCTAAAAGGTCCCTACAGTCCAACCAACCTCGTCCTGATCAGCAAAATCCACATCAAGGATCTTTGGACTTGTTACTGGCCACTTGATACCATGTAGGGCGCGTCTACAGGCCGCAGCTTCTTCAACATCGCTGTACTGTTACGAAAAACACAGGAGCAGAAAGAACTGATTATAACCGCGTCCACGGAACGTCCTTTCATGACAAAATGTACTCAGCGGAAAGACTACAACATGAAGTTTATCTTTACACAAATTCTTTCTCCTTTCATTCGTCTTTGGAACTTTGTACAAAACTACAACTAACCAGTTCAACAATCCACCGACGGATTGGTACCCGTACAGTCAAAGCCGGATGTTTTGTTTTGATGGGGACTTTAGCAAAATTGCTGTGCAATGTTCCAATGTTGATTGGCAGTTTGTCAAGCTCTGTTGTAGTTTCGACAATTTCAGGTTTTCATTTTCTTATACAACGAAATAACATCTCTTTTCTCAGGTGTTGAACAGGGAGAAACGAATTGCCCTACGGTGGACAGTTTAGCAACAGATTTCAAGAAATGGGTGGCGACAAGATGACTAAAATCGCCAAACTGGGAACACAGCTCCAACTTGTGGAGCAGATTTGAATTCTTACGTACAAATGTCTATATTTCTCTCAATCTGTTGATAAACCTTGATCACAGGGCAATTATTTTCTCCGTTTGAGACACAGTAGTATAATTTCAATTTACACGGGAAGAACGGAAACCGAAACTTGCTCGAGCGAATTTGCATCGAAAGTTAGGAGTTGCTTCGAGCAAACCGTCAACCCGAAGTAGAACATAGCGCTGCAACACTGCAGAGTTCCCGTGAAAAGAACACCCAATCTTATAATCTAGCCGGAATACTGGGGAGTCAGTAATTTGCCATGGATCCCATCTCATCGGGGGGAGGGGGGGAGAGGGGAAGGAGGAGGGGGGAGTGGGGGAACAATACTACTATCCGCTTCATGCTACAGAAACCGAAGTTACGTGCGTCACGGTTTGCGCATCTTGAAAGGTTTAGCCTAAGTTTTCAAAGTTCTTCGTTTGCAATCCGTGTCAATCTTCGCCATCCTTAAGGGCCCATTAACCGATCTTTTCGAGCCGTTGCTAAGAAAAATTTAGTCTCATATAACCTCATCATTTTTAGTTAGTTCAGAGTTATTTCATGTGTTTCAACTTTTTCATGATCAGTAACAGTACTGATGACGTCATCAGGCCACGCCCATGGTCGTGTGACTAATACAGAAAAAATGCAAAGGCTCCCACGCAAATTACTTTATCGGGATTTTTTTCATTGATTTAATATTTTAATTTAAATGATCATTACGCCATGCATCGATTTTGTTTCATTTCTAAATGGTCAGAATTTGAGAGCATTTCAAAATATTGAAAAATTCGTAATTTTCTAAAAAAAGCATGATTTCGAAAAAGAAATGCATAGCTATGTTGCCAACGTTGGCTTTAATCGAAATTCGTCGAAAAAAGCTAGATTTATTAAAAAACCGCGTTTCCTTTAGCATTTAAAGAAACCGGAAGTGCGCCCGATATCTATTGGAAGTTACCCTATCAGCGCGTGCGCAATTTACACTACCAGCGCACTTCGGTAAGATCAAACATAGCCACACGGAGTTAGTTTTTCTCTTTCAATTGCTCTTGTTTTTCTGACTTTCTCTTATTTTGTCTTTGCTTGTACTTGTTTTTACTTTGCATTTTGCGAAACACAAAGAAAAACATCTAAAATGTATGCGAATTTGCAAGTTTTTGGGTTGTTTTTATTTTCCGTGCTCAGGCTGACGTAAGCGACCGGAAGTGAAATTTCACCTCCTTAGCAACGCGCGCGAGCGCGCGCATGAATCGGTTGATGGGCCCTTAATCGTCCTTGTTCCTTCATGGTGTATCATTATCTCTTTGGTGTTTTTCTATCTTACTGAACTACTATTTTCAGGTTTCCTTCGATTTCAAGGTAATTTTGTACATGGCCAAAATAACTCAAAATGCTGTGACTGAGCTCCTTTAAATGACTATCACTCTTACCACAACATAACAATGAGACTTTATCTTGTCAATCCAAAATCCACCCTCTACTAAGGTTCCATGTTTGCCGAGCAGATCTTTGAGCTGGTTCAGTGTAAATGGACGTACAAGGTTCTTGACATGAAGCACTTCACTCTGGGGATTTTTGGCACGTGATGGTGAATGCTCTGCTGCTGGTGCAGGGGAGGACGCTTCTTGGACTGGAAGTGATGTGCGTCTTGGATGCGGGTTACCTTCTAATCTCTGCTCTAAAGGATCTAAGCACACGGGCAAAAAGGAATCTATTAGAAATCTTAAACATGCAAGTATCACGTTCGACTATCTCATAAATAGTTTAAAGAAACACTGACTTAACTGCAGTTACATCAAGCAGCACTGGAAAAAAGACAAGATAAAAACTCTACACTCCAGAAAAGTAAGATTTACCAAAGCTGTTCTACTAAAATGCTGAAGAATACAGTGCAATGTTTGTGACATCAGAAATTTCAGTTCAATTTCCCTTCTCATACAGGTAGTTTTCTTGTTGAGGCTCGTTAAATGTCCTTCCTACCAAAGGAAGGAAATTTTGCAGTGATATTTGCTTCGAGAATCACTCATATTGATCTCAGGTTTATTTTAGTGTACTTCCACGCACAAAGTAGGACAACCCTACAAGTAAATTGGAGGCTGGAAGATACGTCCATTGTTCAGTTACTGTTATAGTGCTATTATTTTTCGCTTGATACATGTATGTCACAGCCATGAGATTGAAGAAGGCTTCTCTGATGTTTTAGGAATGGCAAAATTCCCATTCCCACTACAGTGGGCACGAAATGCATGCTTTAAAATGTACTTAGCTACCAGTCTGAGCTTGGACTTGTCAACAGCATTTTATTTAGTAGAAAACCTTTGGTACTTGCACAGAGTGTCTACAGCTAGTGTACTTGTAAAGAGAGAGAACAAAATATAGTATTTCAATGGCATTTCCTTGTTGATGGCAGCTCTGGAGAATTCTTAAATCAATTTTGAAACAACTGGAAAATAACGTTGATCGATGTGAAAATAATTTATGAAACGAAACACTCCTTGCTTCTTTAATTACTTCTTTTTTTGCTTGAATTTGATGTTAACTGCCATCAATAAGGAAACTATCCTGAAAACTGCTTGTTAAATTCTACAATAGGAATTATTGTATTAAATACTCCTCTACAAGGACTTGTAGAATGGTTTGCGGCTGAAACACAGGAATGGTTGTGGTACCCACAGCCACAGATGAACTTTCAACGTCATCACCAGCACAGCAAAGTCCGGCCTTAACCTTCAGCCACTGAGTGAATCACATACACACACTCCCACCGTCAAATGGTATCACTTTTGACTAAGACGCGGCTGTGGAACTTAACGAATCCACAACCCACAAAGTATGGTTCTTACATCATCGACAAGGTTCAAGATGCATTTTTTTCCTTGGATGCATTTGTTGGGTTTCAATTCTTGTGCTTGTGTGGAGGAGAAACAAATTAACTCCAACAAAATGGTATGTGTACTTAGCATCTTTCTTGATTGGATGCATCTTCAGTGGGTTGTACTCAACAAGGCACGCTTATTTTTTCATTGATTGCTTAGCAATCAGCAGTACACTGAACAATGTTCCCACAACTTCTATACAGAAGCAGCTGATGTTTTTTAGCTTTCCTTTGTGTTTCAGTGTAGAATATCTCCAATTTTCTTCCCTCAAGCAGCAGGTGTTAGTTGATGCACAGTCATTCTGGCATATTTGAGAACCGTCGAGTACGTTTGACAAAATTGCTTCACTGCTGCATACTGGTGAGAGTTAGTGAATAATTCATCCTCACGGAAACACTACGATTTGCAGTCCTCACTGGCAAGGAAATGCTTCTGTCTCTTCGGTTCTTGTCAAATATTTGTACATTGTAGGTTGAGGAACTTTTCTTTCAGGATGACATTTTGTACATTGTCTGTTTTCTTGACTGCTCAGCAGAAGACATCAGTAAACAAGTTTCATAAGTCAGTCACTTTCTTTCATTTTCTTGGTTTCTGCATGACTGTTGAAATCTGTGTCAGCTACCAAAACTCTCTTGTGTTATATTCTTGAGTGCAAAGTTAAAGTACATGGCTTGTCATTATTAACAGTTCCTTGCAGTTCTTCATGCAGTTTGTATCTCATTGTGTTAGTGTTTTCAGTTATATGAACCATGCAGTCATTGATAAATACTGTTTTTTACTACCATTCTTGTCCATGAAGTGTTGATCAAATGTCATGACAGTTTACACTCCATTTTAACATTGAGATATTGTTACATCCATTGCACGAAGCATGTGCAAATCAGTCTTGAGCTCAATACTCGGGCACCACCATCTTGTAGCTGATCGCTGAGCATTCTCAATGTTTTCCCAGTAGTTCTGTCTGTTGCTGTAACTTGCTCATTTTGCAGTTTGTAGTATGGCAAGTTGTTTGCTTTGCTGAATCAAACTCTCTTATGGTACATGTCTAATCACATCAGTTCAGCAACAACACCATATAGTTCATTGTCATTCATGTACCAGAGTATGATCACTCTCGGTTGTCGAGGTTGCATCTTTCCATTATTTTTTCAATTCAGATCACCCAGCTGGTATGACCCCAAAGAAAACCTCCCGCATGGTATGCCACAGAAAAGGGTTCATCATGTACAAAGGGACCGAGCACAAGGCTGACTTAGGGCACTTTACACTTGTAACTGCTGCTGTGTGCAGAAAGGTTAGATAGACAAGTTTCCTCAGAGAAAACAAACCAGTAACAACTATCAAATGACCTTGCACACCATGTTAGCCGAACAATGAAAATAAATAAGTACATTTATCTATAGACAAACATTTTTGAGAAGTAATGGCTGCATTTAAGATACATCTTGACATTCATCAACATACATGTACATGAATTTTAGTGAACAAAATGATTGTTATAACCCACCAAATCATGGGCATAAATTTTTGTACAAAACTAAAAATCTGGCTACTCATTTACGCCAGAAAACACCGTACATTTGGGAAGCTATGGTGAATCTTGATAATTTTATCTGGGAGGTTGCAATCAAGTTTTTAAACAAATTATTTGTTCACACAACAATATTACTAATACATGTTTACTAAATCCTTTGCTGTGCAAAAAATAGTGATGACAAGGCCACTTGAAAGTTGCTCTCTTACATGTGTAAAACCATGTGTAAAAAATCATCACATTACACAATGTAACTAATAAACATGACAAGTCAACACAGCAGAACAGGAAACAAGATTAATTTAGCAATCAAATAAATGACAGCATTTCCATAACTACACTATACTACAGACACCAACAGCCACAGTACCTTCCTCAACCTCCATTTTTGCCGTTTCCTGTTCAGACTCCATAACAACAGGCTTTCGCTGAAGCTTGATAGTTTTCTTCTCTTCCACTTTAACAATCCTGTCTTTTCTCCTCTTACCCTCTTCCTTAACTTCAGGTGTTGTTACTGTAGGTGCTTCCTCTTTCTCCGGGTCCAATTTCTGATCTGCCTTCTTCTCTTCTGGCTCCTCCTCTTCCTCCTCATTGTCATCGTTTCCGATATCCATGACAGCTTCCAAAGCAGGTGTACTCTGCACTTGTACTCCAGGAATAAGATCCTAAAAAAGGCAAGAACACATACTGTAAGTGAATTGTCACTTAAATAAATAAATAAATAAATAAATAAATAAATAAATAAATAAATAAATAAATAAATAAATAAATAAATAAATAAATAAATACACATTTATATAGCACCATTTTCCATTAATTGTCCATGGCGCTTTACAATACTTTAAAATTGAAATCCTAAGTTTAAAATCCTAAAATTAAAATCCTAATCCTTTAAAAACCAAAAATCCTAAAAGTTAAAATCCTAAGAATTAAATACGCTATATAATACAATTAGACTACAAATAAAAAGTAAAAAAACTACAAATCAAATGCACGCTTAAAAAGATAAGTCTTAAGATTAGCCTTAAAGTGCACCTAACCCCCCAAATTTTTTTCGCTAGAACGAATCTACTTATTATTTGAAATAGTTCTGCGAAAAAATTTTTGAATTCCGTTAAATCCTCGATTTTCTGTGCCACGACGAAATCTCGAAAATAGCTCCAAAGGTTGTTTAAGTTTGGTTAAAACTTAAAGGTTGGTGACACCACGCAGGCTTTTAGCCAGGATTTGAAAAGCAGGTACCCAAAATGTGTTGTAGAATCTGCTCAAAATTTTAATGAACAATAAAGCTACAAGTGAAAAATAAATTGAGTGATTTTCCATGTGGACAAATCATTTAAACCTACTGTAGCTGAGATTTACTGATTAAATGCCCTACTCCATGGCATCTGTGAATGGCAAACAGTCACAAAACTTCCTTCAAAATATATATTTAAACAAGCTACAGTACTAAAAGGGGGGGGGGGGGAGTCCCTGTGAAGCTCAGATACTGTGAGCTGTCAAATCTACACCTCTATCTGGCCGACTCTCCCCTTCTGGTTTATTATTGGTGCAAAATTGTGGGTGCATTACCTTTAAAGAATCTGTGCTGATGGATAACGAGGTTTTCTTCTTGCTTGATGATGAGCCCCATCTTCTTTTCCTGGAGGCAGGTTGTCCTTCAGTTGGTGTGCTTGGTAGTGATGTTCCTTTAAATGTAACAGTTCAGAGAATACAGTGTCATTTTAAAACTACAGATTCACTGAACACTTAATACAATTTTCAAACTTGCAACTGTACAGTACAAAGACTAATTTCAGTACTTGACACTTACTCGGTAAGGATATCTTCCTTTTCTTGGTTACAACTGGAGATGCTGATTTCTTAAATAAAGAAACAAGGCAACAGTTGACTGCACTATAATTACAATTATTTTTTGTCAAGCCTGAATAATATCAAGACATGGTAAAAAGCCAAAGAACAAAAGAATCACCTGGACCAATTGGTACATTCATCATTAGTGCCTACAATACACTACCGAAAACAGGCTTCTTCAGTCTTACTCTACAAAGTACATCAGTTTAAGATAGACAATCCTACCATAAACTACAAATTTGTTTGCTACTATCCAAGAAAGCACTAGTACAGTACATGTACTTCTCAGTATAATTATGTGAAAATGTCTCTTTTTTAGCATCCAGCTTTGATTATCTTATGTCTATGAGAATTGCTCTGGTCCATAACCCATGACAGTATGGCTGCTACAAGCAAGTATGTGTATTCTTTTCAGAAATCATATGCTACAGTGTAACTGCAAATCTTTTGCAAACTGTGATTCATGTACATACATGTACGTACATGTATAAAGAGAAGTTCTAAACTTCTACCATCTCGACGGCTATCTTACCAGTGGTGATGGAACTTTTGGTTCCTCTACAACTGCCTTGTCCTCTTCACTTGGCTCAACTTCAAAGGTGTTTTCCTCTGCTGGTGAAGGCTGCTGCTCTGGATGTGGTGCTAAGCTCATTTCCTCTACAGGAGATTGACTGAGCTTTTCAGGTTCCTCCTCCTCCTCAGCTTCCTTCTCCTTTTTTTCAGACAATGTCTCTTGTATTTCTACTCTTCTATCTCCTTCTTCTTCTTGTTCAAAAGGTGATCTTACTTCTTTGTCTGTATCTCTGGTATTTAATTTCTCTTCGCCTTCCTCCTCTACCTTTTTCTTGATTTTCTCCTCTTCTTTCTCCTCTTTATCCTTACCTCCCTCATCTTCTTCTTCCTCATAACCCTCCCCTTCCTCCATCTCCTTTGGTGTGACCTCCCTTGCACCTACACCATCATCCTCGACTGTTCTGGATTCACGTTTTTCAATACCTACTAAGGGAACCTTTGTTTCAGGCCTAGATTCAGCAGGATAGTTATAGTTCAATAATGAGGTGGGAGTGGGACGCTCCTGTTCGTCTGAATCTTGGCTCGATGAACTTGAAGACTGTTGTGCGGAGTCCTGCTCATTATCTGATGAGCTGGATGATTCAACTTCTGGTTCAACTGTGGGTTGAAGAACTTGATGATTAGAAGAATGTGTTAGAGGTTGACTCCCAGGTATTGATGCAATTTGATTTATGACTTGCTGGTTTTCTTGAGGTTGTTGATATAGCATTTGGGGTTGAGCCATACGGTGTTGTGGCATTTGGGCCTGGGGTATTTGAGATTGTGGAATTTGGGCTTGTGGCCACTGCTCTCTGAATTCATTCACTTGCATTGGTGAGGTAATCTGCTGTGAAAACAAACAGAATATACTGGTACTTACAGAAAAATTTCTTCACATAATATATTTATTCTTCTACCAGCAATTGCACCTTTTCAGTATGCTTCAGCATAATATCAGAAGGGAGATTTTACCTGTTCAATTTGGATCTCCAAATTATATATGCTCTGTTTTGGGCTTCAATGAATGCTTTTGTCAGGAATGAAGGTCACTAATCATATTTGATTCTTAATTCTTTAAATATTCTTTTGTAACAGAGTCAAGTCTGTCTGCCACTTGCATTTTAAGTTGTGCTGTTCACCACCAAATCAAGTGGTACCAAGAGTTCAGAAGTTTATCCAATATAAAAGACAGACATCAACAACTTCATACCTGCTGTTGGTTCATCATAAGTTGCTGTTGGTTCATCATAACATGAGGCTGGTTTAACATTCCTTGCTGCATTCCCATTGGCTGCACAGGAAAACCACCTGACAAATGTGTGAATATATGGCTAATCAAATTATACATGTGTGCTTAACTTATAAAACGCACTTTCACCATAATTTGGTTTGTTAGTTACCATATTAAATACAAAGTTACACGTACATCTACGTATAAGTTCTCTTGGACACTGGAACATCTTGAGTCGTTCTGATAAATTAATTAGGATTGATATAGATAATTTATGTATACACATGCATTCACAGGTAGTGTATATGGACATCATAGCAATTTAACCCCCATCTCGTGCATGGTGCAAAGAAAACCACATTTTAGGTTTGGGCATGCTGTAACTGTGATGCACTAGTCTGAAAGTCATTCTCACATGTCCCCACAAAATTACAGTGCTTAGAACTGAAATTTGAATTTCCTCAAAAACTTTCCTAAGAACATTTACTTGCCCACCAGGCAAGTGAAGGACAAAATCCACCAGCCTGACTGTAAACTCTACTAGCCTCAGGCTATCAGACATGACTTTCTCTGCACCCTGTCATGTCCACATTTTAAAAAATACCAGTAAGTCAGTCCTTATTTTATGTTTGAACTCCGGACTGCACAGTACATATGCTAACATGCCTACCTGGTACTTGGTTGTGCCCTTGCAACCCTTAGACTATCACCACCCATAAAATTTTAAGCTTTGTACAAGTATACATGTATGTATGTAACAGGATCTATCCAATTTAGAAATAACTAGTTAAAAAAAAATAATAACTAATAATAACTGCTAAAATTGGATAAGGTTGCAGTTCAGGATTGTTTAGATAGCCAATATTGCGTAAAGAAAACAATGATTTTATTCTTGCTTACGTGTGCCAGTTTCCCAAACAATCTCAGACCTGTCAAGGCCTGATGCCCAGCACTCTAATTTGAGATACTGTGTGCTCTTTATTTTTTGATGCAAAAAAAAAAAAAAAGAAAGAAAAACAATCCTAACAGGAATTTCCTTAATGGCCACGCACCAGGCAAACTGACCACCTGAGAGGATGGTTTTGACCTCCTGATTTGACTATCTAGAGGAACATTTTTTGTAAAAAAAAGTTCAGTTCAAAAAAAAAATTTTGTCTGCCTACAATATGAAAGTCAGTCGCCTTCCTATTGAAAATATTAATTAAACGCTAGTTCTAATAAGCTTTTAGTTGTTTGATTTTGATTGCATACATAACATACCAGGCTGCTGCTGTTGTTGTTGTATCATAGGATGAGACCAAGGTTTGGCAACTGGAGCTGGCCTTTGCTGTGGAGCAGTATAGTTCTCAAAACCCTCCTTCAGCTCCAGCTCCTTGTCAATAGCCTGAAAATTAAAATACATGCAGTTAAATGAACAGCCTAAATTACAAATTAGTAAGAACAATATCAGGAATTCAGTTCATAACTGTGAATAGCAGCTGGTAACTGAGCTAAGTAATTTGGGACTCCAAATTTACTGGGAAGAAGGCAGTTACTCTTTGAGATTTCCATACAATTTTCCAGAAAACACATCCAAGTCAATGGAAAATTCTCAAAAGAATGCATGGAAGAAGGGAAAGCATATTCATTACTACAAATCAGTCACTAATTCCAATCCACTGGGCTTGAAAATAGTGCCATCTGGTCGTCCGGGACAAGTAAGTTTTCCTGCCGGGCAAGTAACTTTTTATTCTCACTTGCCGATTGGGCAACTAAGTTAAAAAAATATATATATATAAACTAAGACTTTCCCAGGGCAAGCAAAATTTGAGAGCTACTTGTGCGAAGGGCAAGCTATAATTCAAGTCTTTAACCCTAAATTCCACGTGCCTTTAGTATAAATGTTGTTCCACAACAGTAGCAGTGTGAAACGAAGTCTGAAAAGGAAAACCCATTACTCTGACACAATCATTAATTGAAGGTGACACATTCCGGCCCTCCTCGTGCTTTGCAGTTGCTTAATGTTAGAACATAACAGAAACCTCAAGCAAACTGTTTGAAGGCACTATCTGGTGAGAAAGACACTGCGATCGAGAAACACGAGTGTAACAATTAGTTTATACCTGTGTATCTCGATCGCAGTGCCTCATACTGCAAGCTTAAGTTTCCTTTCCATATATCATAAGCTCATAAAGAGAGAAAAATCGTTATGTTGACGTGGAAAACTTTCAATCTTGGACGTAAGTCAGGTAGAATGCACTCTCGTCTTTTAAAATCAACATTTTCAATCGGAAAACAACAACAGCCGAAACTAAACCCAAACAAACTCGCGCGAAGAGTCTGAAAACAATCAACGGTTTTCCTCGATATAAAGCGTACAAAAGCGTACGTTACCTCTTGCAGCCGTTCTATGAGAATTCCTTTGTTACCACTTTTCTTAAGACCTCGTTTTTCCAGCTCAACTTTCAGTTCATCGACTTTTAACTGAGAAAGCCTCCTTCCTCCAATTGTGATCTCGCGTTCCGCCATGTTGGATTTTACCCGCGTGAAGATTCATCCGGGAACTGCCGTACCTTATGACAAACATCCTCTGATTGGTTTCACAATATTGACCAATCAAAAAAGTGAATAGAAAAAAATTAGCAACAAATCCCAGAAGAGTTTGCGGGCTTTACAAAATGGCTGACATGGAGAGGTGTTGTGTGGTTTAATGGGTTTATTGAGGATTTTGCACGAAAAATGACAGAAGGAATCGCTGATTGCATGCCACTGGCGCTTCGATCCGTCGGGGATGCCATCAGGCTTGATTCAGAAAACAGAACGAAGGTTTGGCTTTCCCCTTGTGAATTTCTTTTCAGCTGATCTATTTGATTTTCCAAGAGAAAATGGCTATATCGTTTCGCTGACTCACTGTTTACTGTACTAAAGCCATTGTTTTTAAGACGCATACAACCTTCTCGTGCATCAGTAATGACACTATATGGATATTTAAGGCACGTAAGCGTGCATGGAGAAATTATGTTGGAAAAAGCAGTATCGCCGTGTAGTGGTCGGCTTTCCACGCACTGTTCCTCTTCACTGAAAAGTTATCTCAGTGCTTTGTGTTTTTCAGTGTTTTCTACATTTTCACTCTTTCCCTTAGTAATTTTGCCCTCTTTTTTATTATTTTTCATTAATTTTGACAATATCTGCATCTTTCAGCTACTCTAAGTAGTCTACAGTCAGAGTTCATTTTGTGTACTTCGCACACTTACAGTGTTTTAGAATTCCATATCAGGTCGGTCATCAGCATGCCAGCTTACGTATGCCAGTATATGCCAAAGACTAGGATGATAGTGTCTTGTACTAGTATGCTCAATGCATTTAAAAATCTCTGCTGATGATCTGTGATTAACTACTTATTAACCAAGATTGAGGTTTTTAAAAGAAAATCTCAGACTGATCGAGACCTTGCCATTTGATCTCACTATAGCTTGGAAAGACTCCGAGGTTTGAGATTTTCTTGTAAAAATCAAACATTCAACGTTAATTCCTTGTTTATTATATGGCTTTTTTTCTTTGTATTTGCAGACCTGTAATAGGCCTGTGGACATTATGGAAGTATAATGCTCTAGAACTAGCCAATCAGAGCGTGCCTTATATCCGCTACAAATGCAAGCCATATAATAAATAACCTTTATTCACTGCAATCTGGGTTACAAGGTAACTCAAGTAATGGCAGCAAAGCTTGATGCGAAAGGACTATTAACACTACTTTATTACATTGCTCATCATAGGAGGCGTATTGTCAATATCTGAGTTGTATGATTTATATCTCACAAGTTCTGAAGGATGATGCTTGGGACAAAGGTTTGTCTTGTGTTTTCTCTAGTTACAAGTTTTTCAGTTCATAGAAATGAAATTGACATAATTTGTGAGAATTTCAAAGGTATTTCTCAAAAAACCATAACCTGTTTGGGGGGGAGGGGGGATCCCTATATAAAAAGGATGAGAGTGCTTGTCAAAAATTTAAAAAAGAACCGCTAAGAGGTACCAAGAACCTGTTTTGTAGGTGTGGCTTGAAATGTTTTTTTTTTTACCCCTAAGAGTTACCAGTTCTAAAACAACACATTAGCTCCTGTCATATTTTTTCCGCTCAGTATCCTAAAAGGTATTGCAAAAGCTCCTGCTGTGGAGCTGTCAAGGCTTAACACCCTAAGGGGCAACAAAACCATGCAATATTTTAACCCCTAATAGGTATGACAAGCACCCATGTCCTTTTGACATTTGTTCCCTTCCCCCTTCCCCCAGGAAACTGCTACTATTAAATTAGTTTTTATATGAATTCATTTAAATGTACTTAGTTTTTCTATTTAATGATTAAGTGTTTTCGGGGATACTAGCACAACAGTGCTATTTCAAATATATTTTATGTACGTGTATGTATATATGTACTCTCATTTAACTTCTGGAGTATTTGTGTGCTGAAGATATTAATGTTTTGTTTCTAAACCTCTTGGTAGATATAAGAGTGGTTTTCACTAGTGACACTGCCAAGTTATTCCGCCTACTTCAGCAATGTCAGGAGAGAGCTCTCACCATAATTTCGTCCTTTGGTAAGATATAATCATGTAGGGCAATCATAAAGTGACAGTTATAATCCAAGATGGGGCCAAGCTTTTCAAAGGATGGATAAATTACTATCCACTAGATAAATCACTATCTAGTGGATAAGAGCTAACAAAATAAATTATATTGTCCATCCAGCTGTAAAAGAAGAAGAATGGGTAAGATTCGGGAAGGTTAAGAAAGACTAAAACTTTTTTTCTGTGTCATGTTTTTAAATTTTGTAAGATTGTTAACTAGATGTATAGTACTAGCATAACTTCACATTTCAATCAGCTCCCTCCCATTTGTTCCAAATATGTGCTAAACAATATTGAATATGAAATTGCATGCTGTGAGTGCATGATGTAGTCCTTAGCTGGGTTTACCCTTGCAAGCTTGTGTTTCCTCCATTTACAAGTAAGAGTGGGTAACATAAACTACCAGTAAATCAAGAGCTATAATTGGCAAGCTGAGAGGGCAGAGTGCTTGCTTGCTTGAGATTACCGACTGTGTGCCATAAGAGAAGAAATCCTTTTTTGACCAAACTTGCGTGCTGTAGATGGCTGGATATTAGTACTGTCCATAAACATGCTTAATTAAAAAAAAAACTTGGCCAATGTCAAGTGAACTTGACCTAATTCTTGGTCAATAATAAACAATATAATATTATATATTAATTCTAATCAATGACATACATGTATTATCTATTTCTGATCCGTAGCAAATGGCACATCAACCAGTCAAAAGCCTGACACTCAACTGACAAAGCATCTTCAGCCTCCACCAGGAGGTGTACCGCGCAGATATTCTGATAGCTCTGTTTCAGATGCTGGCCAGTCAACTCAGTCACACTTGTCTCCTCAGAGTGGAGCACCTCATAAGCTGTCTGACACAACTGCGCCAACATCGGACCTGGCACTGCCCTCCACCGATGGACACCTGCATCTACCTTCACCACCAAGTTCCCCCATGCTGCACCATCGAAGGTTTAATATATTTTATTATATCTCTTGTTTAGTCGAGGAAGTGTGAGTATGGTAGGGGTGGTAGCCTCATGGTTAGTGTGCTCACCTCTGGATTAAGCGATCCGGGTTCGAGCCCTGGCTGGGGACATCAAGTTGTGTTCTTGGGCTAGACACTAGACACAGTGCCTCTCTCTACCCAGGTGTACATGTATAATTGGGTACTGGCAAATTTAATGCTGGGGGTGACCCTGTAATGGACTAGCATCCCATCCAGGTGGAAGTAGAAATACTCCTAGTCACTTGATGCTACTTAATTGAAACCAGGGCTAAGTGCTGGCTGTGATGGACCACTTGGCTTGTATACAAACTTTACCCTTCACCTTTACCTTGTTTATGGTACATGTTACTTATTGTGAAGCAAGGCCAACTTCCCTCGTGCTTGATTTACAATGTTTTCCTTTCTTCTGAGAGAGGTATAAATTATAAACCTTTTTCTTATCCTAGCTTTCTTGGTCCAAATCACAAGATACATGCATGGAGCATCATTTTCCCCCTTTTTTTGAAAGTATGGACCTCAAACTTGACTAATAAGAAGTCTTTTGATCTTGACCTAAAGAATGTAGTTTTTTTATTTTTATTCTAACATGTATTTTGACAATACAAATTTGCCTGATAACAGCTACAAGAAAATTATTTTATGAAGTTTAGTTTACAACTTGTAATCTTTTTACAATTTTTGACTTTTAAGTTCAGGCTCATACCTTTCGTAATTAGATGTATTTGCTTTCAACTTAATATTAGAACTGGCAGTTATGATCCCTTGGATAAAGCTTACAAAGAAAACAAGCAGTTAATACAGGCTTACAGGACAAGAATGCAGAATTCAAATAGAGGAGGGAAAAAACAGGATGTGATGTCTCGGGTACGAAAATTTATACCTTAAAGAATTTATGCAGTCATGCTCTTCACAACGGTCACCTTGGGGTCAGAGGAAAGTGGCCGTTGTAGAGAGATGGCCCTAATGGGGAGGTAGCAGTGCACTATAGCACCTACAGGTGTATATCTTTTTTTGGGAGCGACATTTTTATTTTTAAAAAGGTTGTATTGTTAATTGTAATTGTACATACCACAATCAAGATGTATCAATAAAACAGAAACCAAACAGAAACAGAGACCAACAATGCAATGCAGGTTTTACAATATAAAGTGGGATTTTGTACACGTTATTTGTAAGCCGTTGGTTAATTGGCCATTATCAAGAGGTTAATTTGAGCAGTTGTGGTGTGCTTTAGTGGCTGTTGCTGTTTTGGAGAAGTGACTGCAGTAGAGAGATTAAAATAAGAGTAAATGTATGGACTGTCCACTGCCAGGTACAAAAAAGTGCTGTTTGGAGAGGTGGCCGTTAGTGGATGTTCAACTGTATACTATTCATTATTGTAAGTTATTTTTCTGCTTTGCATGCAGTGCTGATGAGCAGAACACAACATATTTGTCATGTCAAAACAAATTGATATATTCTATTGATAAAGGGCTATTTTTGTCAGCATTGCAGTTTCGCTGCGTGAGCTTGCTTTGTCATCATTTCCCCGATTTACACAATTACAGACCTTCTGCTTTCTCTTACAATCCTCGAGGGGGGCAAAAGAAATAAAAACCGCAAGAAATTAAATGAGTGGGACAGCATGAGCAAGGGAATGAGGGGGAATGTGTCAAGGGAAAATAGTGCACTTTGTGGTCACCCTGTGCTTGTTACTAGAGCTCGCTTGAGGCTTTGTTCGCTGGCTTAAAACGAAGGAAGAAGGGGAACAACTGTGTACAGACAATTATTTTTACCACTTGTTCATTTGTTGTCGTTTAGTGTAGAGTGAGACTTCTGAGATCACAAGCACAGACAATGTTTTTTAAGTAAATAACTGTAAGGGTTTTCCTCTTGTGCTGCTTCAGTTTCACGGTGGCTGATGGACTAAAGAAAAAGAGGGGCTGGTCATAGTTTAACGTCCATGTTCGTTCCAAAGTGCACACTTTTTCAGTGAACGTGATCACCTTTTGACATATTAGGAGCAACATTAATTGTGTTGTAACAATATTGTTTTGCAGAATCTGAGTTTAATGAGAAGAATGTCAGAAAATCTTGTCATTGCTCAAGCGAGAGAACAAGCTGTATCCTTTGTGTTCATTAAATAGATCTTGTTATGGTGAATTTAATATACATCTGATGTGCTGATATGTTTATTTATACCATGCCATAGAAAATATAGCCAATCAGAATACAGGAAAGCCATTGTTTACGGTATAACATTCAGCCTTCCCATAATACAATGCGTGTTATCGCATTGATTGTGTTGGCCACTTGTATTTTCTATGGCATGATATAAAATAGTTGTGCAACGCTCTCTCATGGTACACCATGGGATATCCCATTTGTCACTAGTATTATCTTGAGAAGTTATTACTGACTCGTGGGATATACCATGGCATGCCACTCGAAAGCATTTTACGTGTATAACCAGTTTATGATCACTTCTACCTCGTATATATTACATGTCATTTAAATTTAGTTTTTTCGTCGCGGTCATAACTTTAACTTGAAAATTAGATAAAGAAGAAACTGCTTGAGCGACAACAAAGACTGCAAGAGGAGACAAACAGGTTTGTGATAAACACGTCAAGCAAATTTTTGTGGAGAGGTGCTATTTAACAATTAGACCTGTAGCCC